CCCCCCCTGGCAGGGGCGGGCAGCCCCAGCGTGATTGCGGGCAGCAAGGACACTGTCGGCAAGGCGAACGGGGCCAGAGAGGTCTCCTGCAGCCGCAGCCGCTGGCCCAAGAGCGCCTGCCATGAGGAGCAGGGCGAGGGGTCACCGGTCCCAGACCTCTACCCCTGGCATGCCTTCCCCAGGACACCCAGGAGGCTCTGGTGGGGGCTGCCCAAACCCCGTGGCCCCAGCAGGGCCACTCACTAGAAGAAGGCTGAGCCTCAGAACTGCCCCAGAAGAGCCCAGTCCCGGAAAGGCCTTACCTCCGAGCCCAGGACTGGGTTGGGGCCGTGCTCGCTGTCATTGGGGGAGCTGCACCCTGACGCAGGCGTGCTGCTACTACTGGGGGAGGAGTCTAAGGGTTGGGGAGAAAGGGAAGTGCAGTCAGAGGCCATGGGTGGGCAGGGGTCCTGCCCCGCCCCAAGTGCAGGGCACAGGGGGGTAATCGCTGCCAGAAAGGGCAGCCTCTGCCTTCTGCTTTGTACCCCCCCACTTTTTTAGCGTCAACTGTCCTGTCCTCCCAGGAGAGCAGGCGGATGGCAGCCCATGACATTCCATAGCGTCTCTGGGCAAGCTTGCCTTACAGGTGCTCCTTTTCTGGTGGATACCAGCTTAGCCGACAGCAGGTGCTGGTTTTCAGCCTGCCTTAGCCCCTGGCCAGTGTGTGGGACACACACCCTGTATCCATCCATGACAGCCCCAGGAAGGGACCCCTGTCTGGGTGGGACCTGGGCCACAGGGACAGGAGCAGCCAATGTTGAAATAGCAACCCACCACCCTGCTGCCCTCACCTCCCAGGGTCTCTGTAGGCCGTCTCCGGAGACTGGGGGGGGCACTCTCCTTTCTGAGCAGTGGATTCTTCCTCCGCTCCAGGGACTTTTTGGGTTTGTAGCGCAGCTTCAGGTTGGGCTCAGACACTGCAGGGGAGTGTCAGCATTACTCAGGCCCTACTCACCCCCTCTTGGCTGCCTGTGACACCCTCACTTGAAGTCACCTCTGTCAGTTAAGACAAGAGAAGACAGAGCCAGAGAGAAAACCACACTGCTGCCCCTTCCCTCAGCCCTGCCCTCTCACCCTACACACTCCTGACCAGATCCAAGGCCCTCCCCAGCACCACCCCCAGGACCCGCCGGCCGGTCCAGCTCACCTGTCTTACGCAGGGGAAAGTGTTCTGGGGGGTCACTGGGCAGGCTGGGAACAGGAGGCAGGAAGCTACTGAGCATGGAGCGAGTGGCCCCTTCGGTCTCCAGGGGCTCCAGAGTCCTGTGGAATAAAGGCCAAGCTGCCTCAGAGGAACCCCTGCCCCAGGGCCGGGCAGCCACCTCATCCTGATGGGCTCTGGGTGGCAGCAGTGGACAAGGCCGAGCAGTGTGGGAGAGGCAGGATGGGGCTATCTCCCAGTGTCAGCTGGTAAGCAGGTGGCCTCTCTTGGATCTGAGCATAGAAGCCAGTCTTAGTACCTGGGTGAGGGGCCTGTTGGAGACTCTGCCATCTGTGGTAGGAACTCACTCTAGGAACCAGGATAACTGTGTGCATAGAGGACGGTATAAACAGAGCAGAGGCTCATGTGTGCAAGAAGAAAGCCAACAGATGTGTGTGTGTGTGTGTGTGTGTGTGTGTGTGTGTAGCCAAAATAGTCTTCCTCAAAATACAGTTCTTTGGCCTATTCTGAGATAACTATTCAGGTCCACAGACCCAGAATTAACTTTTTTAAAAAGCTGATCTTTCCAGAAAAAAAAATTACATCTATTTACATCAGCAAAGCCAGCAACGGATACAAGCAGGCTCCTGATGCTGCACCCTTACCTTTCCTGGAAGGAAGGAGGAGCTGAGAGGTGAGGTACCTGGTCTAGAAAGACAACATTCTTTGTGCCCCGCCCCCCCACCCCCCCCACCCCCCCGCTTTTCTAGCGTTAACTGTCCTGTCCTGTGCAGCCCAAGAAGTCGCTTGGCCTTTCCTGGAAACACACTTTGGTTTCCGTGGGCATAGGTGTACATTAAAGTAAATCTGTATAAGGGCCAATAGGTGGCGTGGTGGTTAGTATACTAGACTCCCACATGACCCACTACAGTTTGAGTCCCGGACCTGGTGGCTTGAAAATCACACTAGGTACATGTGTGCAAATGTCCAAAATCCTAGGACACAGAATGGAGAAGAGGTTGGCCATCCCCACCAAGGGGTGATTTTCTCTTTCCTCTGACAGTCTTTCTCTTGGGGGCATGGGACCTGTGACAAAAACCTTTAAAAAAAAAAAGTGAATCTGTATACCTTTTCACTCGCTGCTCTGCCTATTGTCAGTGCTTTGTCAGCAACAGCAGAGGGCCTTGGCTGGGGTGGGGCGATAATTAGAGGAGAGAACAGGGCAGCTGGGAGAGGGGCTTGGGGCAACAGGTCTAGATGAAGGGTATTGGTCAGGTGCTGGGCTGTGCTCACGACAGTGCACAGAGAGCAGGCGGGCAGAGGAAATTACCTGTAGGGAATGCTAGGGCTACTGGGGTGGACTGTTCTCTCCAGGGCCGCCTGCTGTTTCTTCAGAATCACCTCTGCCAGCTTCTGCTTGACCACACTGCTGGCCACGGCGCCTGCAGAGGCAGAGTTGTGCATGGCCTGGGAGTAGGTGGACAGGTGGCCCCCCTGGCATTCTCTGCCCACTACCCAATCCACACCCCAGTACAAGGTGTCCCAAGGGCCCCTCAGGAAAGAGCCAAGTGGGAGGCCCAGGCCCTCCTGTGAGGACTTCAGACACCACCCACCCCACATCCCTTCATAGGCAGAGTCAGCCCAGCACAAGGGACCCAGTGGCTGATGGTGACGCACACAAGCAGCCTGGAACATGCAGGCTGGGGCTGGGGCTGGGGCAGGGGCAGGGGCTGGGGCAAGGGGAGGCCTGCATCCTTACTTCGCTTGCTCTTGTCTTTATTGAGAAGCTGCCGCAGCTGTTGTTCCTGCTGCCCCACCTGCAACTCGGGCACCGGTGTGTCTATGGAGAGCTGTAGGCAGGGTCAAGGGCTTGAGGACTGAGCCTAAGCTCTAGGGAGGCTGGAGGGGTGGAGGGAGGGGGCTGAGCTCTCTTTACCCTCATTGGCTCTGCTGCTGGGTGCTGCCGCTGCAGGCCTGCAAGGAAGAGGTGGTGGTGCAGGCCCTGGGGGTGCTGCAGGGCCAGTAGTGTGGGCTCTGGTGGGGGCTCCACTGTGGGCCGCTGGCCCACCCGCAGGTCCATGGGCTGGGGCTGAGGGCCTGGCGTGTCTGCACAGAGCGTGGGGCAGCCTGGGGACACAGAGAGAGAGGGCAGAGTCAGCTGAAAGGTCTGCAAGAACATGGTTACAGCCTAAGCAGCCTTCAGGCTCACTTAACAGCAAAATACCCTCCAGGGGCCTTTCCTCCTTCTCACCATGGTCCTACAATGTAGGTAAGATTGATTCCACCTTACCCATGAACAAGGGGGGGCGTGTAAACTGGACGTTACACTCTATGGCTGGCAGTGTTTGAGCCTTCTGGCTCCAAGCTCGGTGCTTTTCTACTAAATCTGTCCCTCCCCAGGCCTGGGGCTGAGGGCACAGGGATTTAGTGATGGACTGCAGGCCCATGGTAGCACATTCTGGGCCCTGCCCTCTCCTCCCCTTTGTCTCCCATGAACTAAGAGGATTTGCCCAGCTGCCCTCTAATGAGCTGGGCTCAAAGGCTGTGATCAGGCAGCAAACAGGCCCACTTTGTTCAGCCTCCAACCCAAAGGACCTCACAGGCCCTTGCAATTGCCACCCTCCCATACTCTATCCCAGGTCATGGGATAAAGAACTGGCGCCTCAAGGCTACAGCCAGCTCTGGTGCCACTCTGGGCCTGCAGAGCTCCATTCCCAGGGCAGGTTCCTCAGCTCACGTACCCTGAGAGCCTGCTCCTGGGTGTCCTTCCATGCCAGCTCTGGGTCTGGCCTGGCTTGGTGAGGATGGCAGGCTCAACTGTCTCTTCTCAAGTGTTCTATGCACCCACGTCAGGAGCACCCTGCCAAGGCTGTGGGTGCAGGGGCTATTTATAACTAGCCAACAGACCAGGGTCAGAGCCAGCACAGCCAGCTGGGTGAGGCTGGGCTGAGCAGCCAGAGCTGCTGAGATGTTTGAGGAACCACTGCAGGGGGAGTATCCTGGACAAGGGGAAGAGAGTGTGCATGTGGAGGGGGTCAGGCCCGCCCATGACAGGGCACACAGAGGGGAAACAGTCCCAAAAGACCTCCTTCAGCAATTCCAATGCCAAGCATCCCACAATGGGGACAGACACATTCTATCCTCTGGGCATGGGGCTGAGGGGGACTAGAAAGGCATCTTAGCAAAGCATGGGCGGGTGGGGGGGGGGATCAGGAAGTGCAACGTCCAGGCCCAGCCCAACCATAACTAATAATCTGAACATCTGCTGGTACACATGCATGAGCGTTTGCAAGACCATTGTCCTGGGAGGTAGTGATTGCTATTCCATCATCCCAGATGAGGACACTGAGAGGCAAAGGTGACCCTGTGCAAGGTCACCCAGCAAGGCACAGAGTGAGCATGAGTTCTTCCCTGCCAAGGCCAGTGCTCCATTTTCTACCTACTTTCAGGAAGCCGTCTCCCCTTGAGAGGGTTTCTCACTGAGCAAAGGAAGAGGGGACTGCAATAGGTTGTCACTAAGGGGTTTCTGACCTAACATTGACTGTGGGATGGAGACAAGAGAGGAGCAGAGCAAGAGGTGCCCATTACGACCCTCCAGATATGAAGAGAGAGTTGTGTACCCAGATGCAGCCCACAGGAGCCCATGTCGAAGCCCCACCCACTGTTCATGTGGCCACCCAAGGAGTCCAGGCTCTCCCTCTGCTGGAATCTGGGCCTCCAATGCCAACACACTCCTGCCCCAGGAAAAGGCTCAGCGACCCCAAGTTCCAGTGTCTTGGCTTCCTGAGATGACTGCCCTGATGATGCAAGAAGGGCTTGGAGGAACCCAAGGCAGACCACCCAGGCCAGTGGCTTCAGCAACACATAGACTGCATGCCCCTGGCAGGAGCCCCTTCCCTCACTTAAGAACTGCCCTTGCCCCCAGCAGAAGGCTGCTAGGAAGGCAGGGGAGACTCTGCCCGGGGCACCAACGATGCTTGTCAGGGCATTTTAACATTTGGAGGGCTCTATAATCTGGTCCTAACCTTGACATCGCAATATGGCCCCTCCACACAGCCAACAGTGTCCACCCTGCCATGAGACCATGTGTCTGTTATCCTGAGCTTTGGCTTACAATGTCCCTGCCTGTGCTGTCCTCGCCTCTACATTCTACTTTTCCAAGTCCCACCTTTTGCACAAAGCCCAGTACCCAGAGTCCCTCTCTTGTGGACTTCACGGTGGCTGTTCACGGCACCTTGTGGCAGGTACCACGTCCACAGGGCAGGGACTTGGTTCTGTTGCTCATTATCCCCAGCACCAAGAACAGCACCTAGCATATAATAGGCACTCAAGAGACATGGAATCAACAAACAGGCCTCTGTATTCCCCCCTAAAACTCCTAGGAAGGTGCCCTCGTGGAGATAGGGTTCAGGAATAACTCTTTTTTTTCTTTTTTATTAAAGATTTTTGCCATAGATGCATGTGCGTGTTGCAGAAAGACAGAAAAATTCACCTCTAGGGAGACAGTCACACTGTAATCCCTTCTTCTCCACTCTTCCTTGAGATTTTAGACATGTGTACACCCACTGCCTGGAGTGTAGAGCGTCTTCCTTCCTTCCTTCCTTGCTTGCTTTCTCTCTCTCTCTCTCTCTTCCTCTCTCTCTCTCTTTTTCTTTCTTTTTAAGAGAGATTTTTGCTCTAGAGCACATGCGCTGGCCGGAGAAAAAGAGAGAGACAGAGAAAAAGAGGAAATGACACCTGCCCCCCCCTCCCCCCAAGGGGATGGCCATGCTGCAATCCCATCTCCTCCATTCTTCTCTCAGGATTTTGGGCACGCACACACATGTACCCAGCATTATTTTCCAAGCCTCTGAGTCTAGGACTCAAACCACAGTCAACCATGTGGGAGTCCACTGTAACCATTGTACCACCTGCTGGCCCCATGAATGATTTTGAACAAGTGGCTGAATGCATTAATCGGATGGCTTCTCATTTTAGCATAGATCATATAGTACATTCTATTATTTTGTCTCCTTTTATCTTTGTGCCCTGTCTCCTCAACCTGCCTGTGAGCTTTAGGACAGCCAGGATGAAGCCAGGAAGATGCCTAGCCTTCCATTCCTCCCTGCCATGTGGAAGTACTAGGATGAAGCCGTGTATCTTGCACTTGGAGGCCCTCAGTGAGTATCAGCTGAAGTTAAAGAAAGGGCGGTGGTGTAGTAGTTAAGGGCACTGGACTCCCACATGGCCAACCATGGTTCACGTCTTGGACCTGGCAGCTTACTTTCTCACTTTCTCTCTCACTCTAGCTCTGTCTCTCTCCGGTCAAATTAAAACAAATAAATAAAGTTAAAATAAAATAATTATTGGGGCTAGCAGGTGGCGGGTGGTTGAGGACACTGGACACCCACTTGGCCAACCATGGTTCAAGTACCAGACCTGGCAGTTTGCTTTCTTGCTTTCTCTCTCTCTTGCTCTGTTTCTCTCTGGTCAAATTAAAATAAATAAATAAAGTTAAATACAATAATTATTTTTTTTAAATAAATAAAATAATTCTTAAAAAAATTAAGAAAGAAAGGGCAGCTTTGTCCAGCACAGACTGAACCCCCAGGCATGTCCTAAACCACAGCCGCAGCAGAAGTCCACTGCAACCCTTTCCTAGGGTAGCCGGCCAGCAGAGGAGGCTCAGACCAGCAGGGGTAGGAGATGAGGACCTGGGAGAGAACCAGGTCACCAAGGGTGGGTCTGTCCCCTCCCACCTGAGCAGAGCAGCACAGGGCAACTTTGTACCCCATAAGGGTGGCTGTGTCCACCTTGCAGGCTGGGGTGAGGACAACATGACCCTTGCCCAAAGCCTGCAGGGGTAGGGTCTTAGTGTAAGCATTAGCTGCCCTCTTTCCTTCCTGTTGCACTGCACCCAACAAAGGCAAGAGCATCTTGTCCCCCCTTTTCTTAGCACTGTGCTTCCTAGCATTGGGACCTGCCTAGATCCCATAGCCTCGATCCAGTAGCCTCTCGTAGCCCCACTCCTCATCCTTTCCCCTGGGAACCCCTACTCCACCTTCTTCCATTCCCCACCACGGTCTCCCTCAGGCCTGACTCTTACCTGTGCCAAGGGGCCTGGGACAGTGGGTACCCGGGCTCACCTGGGTCCCATCTGTAGAGAGAAGAGAGATGGAGTGAAGGGGCTGCAGTGGGGAGGTGGAAAGGGGGAGGGAGGAGACAGGGCCAAACCTGGTAGGCTCCCCACCACTTCAGCTAGAGCACACCAAAATCTGGGGCCTCCACAGACGCTAACTGAAAAGAGAATAGTCCAGCCTATTCCTTTCTTGAAAATCTTAGTTGGCTGAGAGGGGTTCCCAGCTCTCTTCCCGCAGAGTGACGTTGATCTCTGCCTGCCTGGGCTCACTGCACGGCAAGAACCTAAGGTGGCCCCAGCTCACCCAGCAGTGCCCTCAGCTCTCCCTCATGTGGTCAGATACAATCTTCCCTGGGCAGCCAAACCAGGCTCATAGCCTGAAGGGAAAAAAGAGGGCTGGGAGGTGAGGTGGGGCCAGAGGTGGGAGAGTGGAGCTGGAGAGGCTACACCAGATGCCAGGAGGGAGGTGGGAGGAACAGCTGGAGAGGGGGCCAGCTACATAGGGGCTGCTCAGGTGGGTGCAGGAAGGAGCTGGAGAGAGTGGAAGAGGCTTCTCCAACAAGGGAAGGGCAGCTCACGGCTTAGAGGTCAGATCAGATCTGGTGGGAACCACCAAGGGTAGGGTCTGGAATGCACAACCCAAGGACCCAAAGGGAGGACCCCTTTCCTTCTACTGCCTCTGTTCCCCAGAGAAGCGACCTGCTCACTCAGCTGCTTTTCTGGACATCCTGCAATTGAAAACATTCCTTTTGGCAACAGCTACCTCACCAGGCCTCCATGACCAGCACTGCCCTATTCCATTTGGAAGCCACGAAACCCTAGAGGAGAGCCCCAAGTTGGTCCATAGCACAAAGATCCCAGCTGGGGTGGGAGATGACAGAGGCAAGTCCTGAAGTCACCTGTCAAGGACAAACAACTTTTCCTCCTACCATCCCAGCTTAAGACCCAGGGGACAGGAGGCTAAGAGACTGGGAGGCCAACTGAGGCGCCATTAGGTGGACACAGAAGTCCTCCTCAGGCCAGACTAGGGGCGGGAGGGTATTTTTTTCCAGGACAACTGGGAGATGCTGCTCTTTGAATCTGTATTTCAGGGGCAGGCATGGTTCCTCCTCCAGAAATAGAGAAAGGAGCTGCAAGGGAGGGCAGCTCCAGGCACAGGGAGACTCCCAGTGCCTGCCCTCAAACACTAGTGCCCACGGGAACCAGCAGTTAGCGTAATGGCTATGTCGCTGGACTCCCACGTAGTCGACCGCGGTTCGTGTCCCGGACCCGGTGGCTTAAAACTCACGCCGGGCGCATGTGCGTGCGTGCCCAAGATCCCGAGAGGAGAATGGAGGAGAAGGGATTGCGGCGTGACCATCCCCCCTGGGGGGTGATTTCTCGCTTTCT